TGGATTTACGATTTTGGGCACAGCTAACTCGACACTTGGGGAAACATACGGACCTTCTCCAGTGCTAACAGTTTGCTTTCAAAATCTGATTCCTATTCGTTTAAGTATTTTTAGTCATTGTGTAAACAGGACCGGTTAATACGGTAAGTGGGTTGGATTCAATGAGGCATGGAATCCAACGCTCACGAAGGTCAGGATCTAGAGTCAACAACTGAGGATCAGTTATTCATAAAGACGATTGTTATTTTGACTTGGCTGTGTGAATTTACGAGGAGCAGGACTAGTAGAAACTGTCTGTTAATACATGCTCCAGATGTACTGAGGGAATAGCCTCCATGTTTTCGGCACGAGCGAGGGTTAGGACTACTTGCGAAAAAAACAAATATTGAACCTTTTAGGTATTTATTTTGATGCTGCACACATGAAACAACTAGCTAACATGTTGTTTGTTGTTTTACTGATGTGTATGACATGAAGTAGTGTGATGCTGAAACACACTTCCGTTGTCAATAACAAGGATATTTATTTGTACAACGAAAACTGTTATACTTCCGTGTTATTGACTGTTAGGGAGATACTGTTCGACGATACACGCACTGACAATACGGACGGGTTGGTGTGGTGGGGGTGGGGTGAGAGGAAGAGGAGGAGAGAGAGAGAGAGAGAGAGAGAGAGAGAGAGAGAGAGAGAGAGAGAGAGAGAGAGAGAGAGAGAGAGAGAGAGAGAGAGAGAGAGAGAGAGAGAGAGAGAGGGCAGAGAGAGAGCTGCTTGATCATAAGAGCGGGTTCGGGTGATCAGGCTGGATGGCGGAGGTCACCGGTCCCAATCGATGCTCATGATGTCAGTCACTAGGTTGTCTGGTCCAGACTCTATCATACACAGACCGCAGTCTTATTACATGGATAGTGCTGAATACTGCGTTAAACAATGTACATCAACATATATGTTGATCTTCAGTTGCTTGCCGTAAGAGGCGACCAACGCGATCGGGTGGTCAGACTCGCTGACTTGGTTGACACATGTCCTCGAATCCCAATTGCGTAGATCGATGCTCATGCTGTTGAACACTGTTCCGTACAGTTTGACCGGATATCCTCTGAAGTCCAGGTACCCTGGCTGCTGTGCTCTCACCCGTGGCAGTACGATCACGCAAATGTAGTACGGATGTACCGATCTTGGGCTGCAGTGGTGACTCGAGGTATGACGGTCATTTGTTATGCCTGTTTGGTTGTAAGGAGCTGTAAGCCGTGATATCGTACTCAGACTAACATCCAGACGCCTGGTAACAGAAGATTCGTAATCTCCAGCGTGCATTCTTTCAATGGCGATGTTCGGTGTCGCAGCGTCAAGACGTGGCGTAGTGATTTGATTATGAAACTCCTTCAAAACGTATGCCGATTTCCGAAAGTAATCTGGATTTTTATAGCCAGACAGTGCATGCTCTTTGCTGCACAATTTCAACTGAAAGGTGATTTCTGTTGCGTTGTGGGGATGCCTTATTAATCCTTGTAAGAAATCTCATCAAAATCAACATTTTCAGGTAAAGTCCATTTTTTTACTTGAGCAAGTGTGTAAAATCATGTTATCAACACTTTTGTTACATATTGTGACGATTGTTTAAACACAATAGGTAATTAATAGATTTTTAAAAATACAAAACGCCTATGCGTATCTTTTTGGGGATAGTATATAATATGAATATTTTACGAGGTGAGGTGAAATTGGGTTTAACGTCGTACTTGAGAATATTTCGCTCATATGACGACGTGCATGCGTGTGTATGTGTATGTATGTGTATGTGCGGCTGCTTGTACCCATTAATGCTGAGCGCCAGGCAGGGACCAAAGAGTACCATATTTTAACGTCTTTTGGTATGACGCGGTCGGGGATCGAACCCGCGACCTTCCGCTCTCCGAATACTTTACGATATGCTGTGGAGTTGAAATATTAAATCAACACTTCTTTGGGCATTCGTGACAACAAAAATCTGCATTCTCACATTGTGACCCGGAATAGCATGCTTGACTGTTTGCATTATTTAGCAGAACTCGGCCTCTGTTCTCGGGAAAGCTACTTCAATGACCGGGTTTAATATGTTAGTTATTTCTTGTCCCGTGACACAGTGATTTGCATTGCATCACCAGTGGGCGAGTTAGAATTTAACGTTACACCGGCTGTATTTAAGCATTTAGTGACGAGAAGAGTTAGGTTAACAATAAAAATATATGTCACAAAGGACAGTAACACCTTAGCCAGATAGCGCAATTTGAATCCAAAAACTAACTATTCCAATTATTATAATAGTCCACTCAGCATAATGATCAATACGTGTAATGCCATTAAAGTACGAGCTATAGACCACCAGCAATCAATGCTAGGCCACAGGGGATCACGGGGACTCACAGTACTACAGCTTCCTGCTTGAATCCCCAGCAGGATTTAACCCATCATTTTGGTCACTGGTAAGGGCAGAATAAGCTAACAATATATCTGATAATTAAAACTTCTGGTTGTCTCCAATGGATAGTCTGATATCAGAGAATAATAATTTTACAATACTTCAACCCCGTTAAATAGCACTGCCGTAATAATATTAGTTATCAATTACATCAAATTTAACAAGTTGAAACACAATGCCACACCCTTTAATGAAACCTCATTAATTCACACCCTTTGCTTTATATGACTACACCTCATCTACCAATGGGCTATGACCACAGTGACCTCATTAATCCACGCTCACTGGTATATATAGTTGGAAAGTAACACCTTAGCGACCCAAGACCCCCTTAACATGAGTTGCGATGATAATCGACGTAAGGTAACCGACGCAACGAAAAAGCAGTCAGGCCCATGCCTGGTCCCTTATCACATTTCAGAGAATTTGCAGTGAGTATGGTCAATGTTTTGGGTTTATTTAATTTGTTGTTGTTGTTTAACTCACTTAGGAATGTTTCAGCTATATGGCGGCGATTTGTTAATAATCGAGTCTGGACCAGACGATCCAGTGATCAACAGAATAAGCAATGTTTCAACCAAGTCAGCGAGCGTGACCACTCGTTCCCGTTAGTCGACTATTACGACAAGCATTGGTTCCTGAAGATCAATTCTTACTCAGATCTTCACGGGTTTGTATGGTAAAAGAAAATACACATGAAAACACAGATGAAAAATTAATCCGTGTTAACAAATGGTCTCTCAATGGAACAATGTCCAGACGTTCGATTTCGCTCCGCTTTTGGTGTGGCATTCCACAAATATCGCCAAAACCTGGAATGCGGAATCGAACCCGTTCCACCAGATTTATGAACGAACGCTTCAATCACAAGGCTACCCAACCGCCACGGAGTCTCATGGTTCTTCTGTGTGAGATGTGATGTTCATCAAATTATTGCTTTCTATTATTATTTGAAACAAGGTATATTTGGTAAAGTAATCAGGAAAGGGCATTTTCAAGAGTCTGCATGAACAAACTAAGACAAATGGCAAACGCGTGAACTGAAGAAAGGACAGTAACTCTTGTTTAACAACTGTACGAAGCGAACGTAAAATACCAGAGATGACATAAAACATGGAAAGAAAACACTATGTCCTGCCTTATTTCTGCTCTTTTCTCACTTGGGCAACATTTTTTATTTCTCTGTGTCCGACCCACTGTAATTTGGCCGCCGATCCGAAAATAAAAATAATTCGAACACAGAACCAACTGCTCATTGTATTGCTATGATGAAGGTTTTAGGTAGAGGACAACTGAAAATTACAAGAAGGCTGAGTGCCTACACTGCCTACAGCAGAAGAGGCGACTAACGGGATCGGGTGGGCAGGCTCGCTGACTTTATTGACACATGTCATCGGTTCCCAATTGCGCAGATCGATGTTCATGCTGTTGATCACTGGATTCAGAACCTGTGGCAATATAGACTTCCTTCACTTCGAGCTTTAGTATTGCAGAAGGGGCAAGGAGGAATGGACGAAAAAAGTTTCAGGGACTGGGTGAAATGTGTTTTTTGTTGAATGAAAACTTGTGAGAAACTTGTATTTGTTGGTGCTATTTTAATTTAAATCCATATTTTGCAGGAGAAACAATGTCACATGAGTGAGTCGCAATGTTGCATGATACACGAAGTAAGGATTTCTGGTCCAAACTCGATTATCTACAGACCGCCGCTATATACCTGTAATATTGTTGAGTGCGGCGTAAAACTAAACTCACTCACTCACTCACTTTCAACTAATCTGTTAACACCCATGGACCTGACTTATTTCAACAATATGTTCAGGAAGTGATTCAGTAATACAGTGCGTGTGGTCACGGTCGCAAAGGTCATTGTCAAAGTTGAAGTTAAAGTTCTACGCAATTTACATGTGCCAACGAAGTCAGCAAACCTGACCACCTGATCCCGTTATTCGCCTCTTACGACAAGCATGGGTTGCTGAAGTCCAATTCTAACTCGGATCTTCACAGGTTCACTTACGTTAATGAAACACTTCAAATGGACTAATAAACACGACAATACCAAGCCTCTCCGTGTAAAGCTTTCATTGGAAACAAACTACCAGATAGCCTGGTATTTATGACTTTAACATTTTATTTCTGAAATTCTGTTTTTAAATATCTTAAATGTTCCACACAAAGATGAAAGGGTTAAAAGGTGCTATAATATAGAAAATGGAACATTCCTATACCCGACCGCACCCGCCAGCCGCATATGTTAATTAAAGCAAGTGAATGACAAGATTAGAATTATGAATATGCCTGTTTTTGGTTTCATTTACAGAAGCATAACCCAATGTTTCAATCACCTGATGAAAGAGAAGACATATATACTCTAAAACATTCTGTTCCTCGTAATACAGAAGTTCAAAACAATGACATATTTCAGTTTACAATGCACATAAAATATTGACAAAAAATGCTTAATACATATACGATATACTTGTTGAAAATTGAGCTTGAATATCTTCAATGTTCAACAATGTTCCTGGAAGCACGGAATTTCTTATTCCTTGGTGATATAGACAAAGGAGAACATATCCTGGTCCACGAAACGTTCTGGGTTCATGTTTTGGATCACGTCCTCTACCTGAACGTATAAATCATTCACAATTACTTCTTTCTCATCTTGACTTCTAGTTCCTGAAAGTCCTGTCAGAAAGGTGCTATTGCTCCAACATCGATGGGCTGACACAAATCTTCTGGCAAATTTGACCCTGTCATCAACGCCATCCCTGTCCTTCCTTTGTTTCCAATCAGTGTAGATTTCACATGGATAATCTACCAGTCGAGCTGATAACAGACGTAAATTGCATTTACGCACTCTTGAGTTGGGATCTTCAAATGGAGCTTTCAGTAGATTTAAACTCTTGTCGCACAGTGCCATATTTGTATTCACGAATTCACTTTGGGAAATCTTGCCCATGTCGCGAAATTTCGTCCACAAAGTATTCAAAATGGACAAGAACAGTCCACTGGTAATCTTTACTTCTCCGGATGTAGTGGTATAATTGCTTGTTGTAGATACAACCAGCAATCCTCCTTTCTTCAGCTCACGACTTCTTAAGATAAGGAATTTCTCCCAATCTTCAGACGCTTTTAACTCGAGCATAAACCTGGCATCGGTATCTGTATTTGGAAAAGGAAAAATGTTATTTTTATTCACAGGAGGTTTTCCGGAAAGCCAATGTGCAGCTGTCAGACAGAGTATTATGTGCATTGAGTCTGATGGGACACACTGCTTATAAAAATTAGTTCCTGAAGCCAAAGCAAAGACGTTCTCGAAATCCTGGAGGTAGGATGGTGGCTCAGGGATAAGACCAGAGAGGCGTCTGAATAGGGAGTTGAAGTCGTTGACCTCTTGGTCTTCATGGATGATCTGGAACTGCACGTCAGAGCCATGCTGCTCTTTGAGACTCGCAATTAGTTTCCGGAGAAGCGTCATGGCCGCTGCACCATCGCAAGTTCCAAAGTCCCCGATGTTGTACACAGAGGTCTTCTCTGGGAAGGGAACATTCTTAACCAGCTCCAAGAAGTCACTATTTTGAAGAAGTACTGAATATCTATCAGTGCTTAATCCCATGTCTGCACCAAACGTCCCCAGACCTGCCTCTCCATATGGCAAATGGGCTCCATTGTCACATATATTGCTTGTGGACATTTTTCTTTCTGACTTATTTCGCTAAATGTTTGGGTTTTTTCAAAATGATCTAACGAGACTGTGGCAGCGAGCTGAAGGCTGCTTTTTATATACTTACCTAGCCCCTGCTCACGTGACTATCACGTTTACAGGAGGATAATGTTACATTAATAATATATCACCGCGGGGGAGACCAGAAATGGGCTTCACACATTGTACCCTTTCCACTGAAGTGAGTGAAGTGAGTTAAAATTTAAAGTCACTTTGGCAATATTTCAGCCATATCGTGACTAAAACAACATATATAAAAAAGATAGAATATAAAATCCTGTCAACGAAGGACAGTAAAGAAACTAGAATATCACAGATATAAATGTAAAACTAGTAATTAAATCTGAAACATTTTAACTATAGAGGACAACACAATATAAAATAGGCTATAGATCACCAACAACTGATTCACACTGAAGACCCGGGTTCTATTCCCCATATGGGTATAATGTGTGAAGCCCATTTCTGGTATCCCCGCCATTATATTGCAGCAGTTTTGCTAAAAGGGCGTAAAAATAAATTCACTCACTCATTTAAGTGTTGATTGAGTATTGTTCAACGCCAGATGAAGCAATATTCCAGTTACATAGGAGGGTCGTTCAAAAATGTAGTCGGCCTAACTATATTCTCGTTTGAAAAGCTTCCATTTTATTTTGAAGGAATCATTAGCAAAGCCATATCCAAAATTTCACATATGTGGGTAATGTGGTTAACGTAATATTAATCGTCACAACACATTGGGGTGTAACATTGTTTTAAAAATTGCAGGAAATGAAAAACGATCGGTCATTTGGTACCTCTGGAATAATGGTATGCCCTCAGATAATATCATATAAAACATATTTTCCGTATAGTATTAGGTAGCTTCTCGTCATAATCAACTGTCAAAGATTTGGACTGTTTGATTTATATTAAGACAGGGCTGTTTTGTAAGGACACCCCCATTTTAATCTTTCAAAAACATTGTGTCCATATATTCAAGCTGGCACTGTTTACAATAAACTGAGAGGTGACACTTGAATGAGCATTCAGTAGTTAGTTTGAATCCTTGCCATCATGTATGAATGAGTGAAAACATTAGAATAAGTTATGTCCTACTGATTACATCATCTGAAATGGGGGTGGGTAGTGTCTCCAAAACAAGATCTTTCAGTAAACATTAAGGGGGGAGGGGGGGAGGTCCACCTATCTCAAACACAGAACATGTTTCTTGCATGTTTTGTTTCGTGAAGTTTGTGATGCATTTTTTGGAGATTTTGCGTTTTGGGGGGGTACCAAGGTAGAAAGTCAAATAAAATGGGGACGTGAGGCTGGAACTAATTTGCTTGAAGTTGACAGATAATATGTAGAAAAATAGATCATAAAAACAGCTGCATTTGTATCATTTTCTAGGTGAGGCCGACTACTTTTTGAACGACCCTCGTAATGGCTGTCTGTAAATAGTTGTGCCTGTATCAGAAAATCCAGGGAAACGAGAATGTGCATCGATCAGGTGAGCTACCATAACCACCCAAACTCCATAGCTGCTTCTTTTGACAAGCAAAGGTTGCAATTCTAACGGGTAAAATAATCTAGTTGTGATTCTAAATACAAGTGCAAAACCCTTTACACATACAGAAATCTCCGCTAAAAGCAGAGTCGATTGTACAAAAGCCATTTACCACATAAATCAGACAATTCTATTCCTATGTGGAATTAAGGGATTACAAAATAGACATGTGATTAAAGGATCCAGTTCATGTAACTTCAGGAATTAATGTCTACATCATAGGCCACCTGTTACAATGCCTGACGCAGGCATCGTGTTCAACTTCCTCTCAATTCTGTACAGAGCACCAGTATTTGTAAGCATACATGTTAGGGTAGAAAACGCGTTCTTTGCTGGGTTCATTTTTCACATACAAAGCTGTGAGAGAATGAACAAATCGACTGAAAGCTCCGCCAGCGTCTTCCAGTAAACATAATCGAACTGGATTCATGAAAGCTTTTGAGCTTGGCATAATGTGCCATTTTATGTTAATTATCTGCATTTTGATACCAAGAGGATAAGTAACACCGTCTATTTCGTGCACCATCCGGTGCCCATTATGTAGCGAATGAACTGCCTCTTAATAACATTGTAACTGCAAGATTTAAACCAAACTATTCTAATGGGATTATGAAGCAATTATCTTTACGGTTTATACAAAATCATGAAATCAACCATTTATTGTTTACGAACTGTTGCTGTACATTTTCAGTATGATGTCTCACATTTAAGTTGGTAAAATGGGCAGCAGGTGTTGACAACGACACCCATTTCTATTTCTGTAACAGACCTGTGCCATATAGCTGGAATATTGTGAGTGCGACGTTAAAAACTAAACCAAATTAAAGAGTGAGATCGGAACTTTCTGGCATTTGAAAACTCTCCATATGTACCCAACAAGCACACAAACATCTCATTCGTGTGCCGTGACGTAACAGTCACGTCACTATCACGATCTTAAAGTAGGAGATGTCTTCACGAATGTGAATGTAAAGTTGCATTAATTAACTTCACACTGAATTCACCTTTAATCAAATTTATATGAAGCACATATTTGTTGTTGTATGTCAATCTGATGAGTTGTTGATTTTTCAAATGTTACAAACAATCCTAAGACTTTTCCGTCAATGCATCACATAGAAAAAAGTTAATGACAGATTACATAAGTTGTCTTCCATAAGATTACTCTAAAGCAGAATGGCATATACCGAGCCCTTTTGAGGTATTTTGTTTTCATTGGAAACTCCATGATTGTGAGCATATGTGAATATGTTAATTTTGCGATTCTAAATATGTCATAAGCATCCTTTTATTAATTGCTATCAAATAGTGATGGTGCCACGTTTTGCAGCAATGAAAGGAAATAACGTTTATTATGACGTTCAGCAGTAAAGAATAGGTAGATCTAATTTATGGAGCCCTTATCTAAAATTGTCTCTTTCATTTCTAACTGTTATAATTATGGAGCATCCAGATGTATTGCTTTACCAAGTTAGTAGATTGCGACACCAACAGAGAAATACCTTACAGATATCAAAGTCTGAAATGGAATATCATACAATAATATATATTAAATCACATAAAGTTAATTATCATTCTGTGAATGTGGCAACAGCTGATGAAAGAGATGAACACAGAATATTCTATGTATACTGAAAAATAGAACCCAAGAAAGGTATGGGGCTTTAGAATGAGTATGAAAACTGTGTACCTCGTGTATCCGTTGATAAGTAAGACATCACGGTACAGACATATATTATCTAACTAGGGTTATGCATGAAAGAATAATCAGTGGTTTACGCCGCATTAAAAATATCACAGCTATTCGAGGCGAGAATTAGTAAAAAAAAAGCCCCAAAATGGCAGGCAGTCTTTTGTATAACTGAGTTATATATATATAGCCATAATATATTCTCCTAATGCAGGGACCGCCTCCGTAGTGTAGTGGTTAGAACGTCCGCTCGAAGAGCGGAAGGTCGCGGGTTCGATCCCCGACTGCGTCATACCAAAAGATGTTAAAATATGGTACTTGTTGGTCCCTGCCTGGCGCTCGGCATTAAGGACTGGTCGGCTCGGAGTCAGTATAATGTGTCTGAGTGGGTTATTCATGCTTGACTGCGGCATGGTATCTCAGTGGGCTAGCACTATAAAACCAGCTTAAGTCTGGGCTAGTACAAGCAGCCGCACATACACATACACACGCATGCACGTCGTCATATGAGCGAAATATTCTCAAGCACGACGTTAAACCCAACTTCACCTCACCTCCTACTGCAGTTTTCATGTGTTTACCGAGACCGAAAGTGGCACAATCATGTTGGGCAGTACGACGCTGAAATCTACCTCAGGAATTCTGTTTTCTGAAAGCGATTGTACCATAATCAAAACAAAAGTAAGTATAACTTTGATATATGCTGAGCTAGTACTATGATAATTTTTGGTTTCTTATACTGCTTTCTGAAAGCAGAAATGACATATTACAAAAGCTGGAAATTTAATATGTTGTTTCACCTGAGCACGAACTGCTTTTTTCTTGATAAAGATCTTTATAACGTGGTTTGCTTCGAAACCAGATGTCCTATTTTACAAAAGACAGGCTTAATTATGCCTTCAAGAAGGAAAGTCTCTAGAGTTCCATATCATTCAATACGTGCAGCTCTATGAATCTTATAAGAATGTGTATGAAATGTCGAAAAGGGTTAGTTAGTTGGTTGGTTGATTTATTGTTTAATGCTGCAATCAGCAATATTCCCGCTATTTGGCGGTGGTCTGTAAATAATCGGTATCTGGACCAGACAAGCCAGTGATGAACAGCATGAGTATGAATGTACACAGTTGGGATACGATGACATGTGTCAAGCAAGTCAGCTAGCCAGACCACCCGATTCCGTTACTGAAGACCAATTTTAACCCGGATCTTCACGGGTGTCAAACAAACTACTGCAACAGCTTCTGTTAAGTTATGAAACACGTATGTCTACATGAAATCAAATCAGGTAAAGACTTACCTCAATGGAATATAGATGTTATGTTTTAAACGATAACAAAAATATAATTATCGTACTAAAGACACACCCAGTGTGATTTCATTTGTGAACATGCATGCTATTATCTTGTCTCATCTTACATAAATACGCTTGTAGCATTCGCGGCTTTACGACATCATATGTATGGAGTGAGTGAGTGAGTTAATATTTAACGTCACATTGGCAATATTTCAGCCATATCGTGACGAGAACACATTCAATTTTGAAGTGGAATATATGTATATTATAAAAACCTGTCGACGAAGGACAGTAAAACAACTAGAATATCACAATTAGAATTAAAACTAGCGTGGAAAGTTTAAAACTAATGGCACTATTGGGACAATACAATATAAAATCAGGCTATAGATCGCCAACAACAGAAGGTAGATCACCATACTAGGGACCATGGGGAC